CTCACTGTTGTCTATGATTTTGCAAAGAAGGGTTTCTGTATATCTTCATCCTATGTCTCACATCATCCCTTAAAAACTTGCTAGAATTGTTGATAAAAGTATGAAGGCTCTAGGAAAAGTCCCTGTCAACCTGTAGAGTGCTTTCATTTTAATAGTCACTTATACCATAGTTGGAAAATTATTGCAACTAATTCATTATTGAAAATCTAGAGTAATCCAAAAGAAGATCTTTTTACCCTCGGCAAGTCTACAAGTAGAGACATGTTGGGTCCCCAATGGGGGGTTGCTATCTGGCATCTTTGCTGTCTCACAACCCAGTGAGAACACACCTTTCCGGAAACAGTTGTGTCACTTCTCATTCCTTTGCTCATCTGGCGACTCTGGTTTTCATGCTTTAGGTTTGTAAATAGTTCTGTTTGGAGCTATTGTTCTGTTAAAGCCCTCTTTCCATAATGAGCTCAAGACGTTTTCTATTTCTTACGAGGCAAATTCTTTGTCTTGCTGCCGCATAAAATCATATCCCTGCATTTGGAATCACTTTTAACTTTTCAGTTTACGCATCCACTAAACATTCCTAATCATCTATTGTAAGCCAAGAGGTATGATAAAAGGTATTAAGAATTAAATGATAGATATGAAGACATTCGGTCTTACCCCACGTAGTTTTTAGTCCAGCAAAGCTAATAGTATTCTGCAGAGACCTTAATTTTCCTCAGGAGACATCTTAGTTTACTTGGGACAGGATTTCACTTTTCTTGAGAAATTATTTAATACTATTTTCTCCCTCAGACAACAAATTGTATGTTTTTGGTGTGTTTTCCATCACTTGTTATCAAACAAGCTTGTGCATCCTTTGAACTCCTATCTAACAAGAACTTCAATACTATTTTACAATGGCAGAATTTTAAATGTAAAAACAGCAATATTCTTTTTCCTCTTGTCTAAATCATTAATTCTGAGCACTTCAGCTATTCAGCACTCATGTGGCCTGCCCATACTAATCTGTGGTACAGGCATTCCTGTGGGGAAAATCAATTATGAGATAATAAGGTGGTTAACCTATAGTCAGTGTCTTTGAGTGTTTATTCTCATTCATTGTCATTACTGAGGGTTATTGTAGACTGTAGAATCTCCAACATAATGAACTTTTCTTAAATTCATCCTTTCCCCCTTCATTCCTACCTTGTTCTCAAGTGCAATACTCAGTAGGAAACTGTCATAATCTATTCCTCAAAATCATCATCCAAAATCAAGAAAATGTATTATAATAAATTTTAAACAATCTTATCCTATGCATAATATGTTTCAGTAAGACTGTGGGATGTTTTTTAGTAAGTCCAAGCTGTTTAACATCTCCAGAGTCCCTGCAGAATTCCTGAAAATGGTACGCTCTAGTTTCTTCTGGCCAATGCCTACCAGCTGAAGGGCCTAAGGTACACCTATGAGTTTATTGGTTCTCTAGCAAGGAAATGGTGTGCCGTAGGGGACAATGAGATGTCTTAGTAAGAACACGAAAACAGACTAATTAAATAGTCTGAGTTTCTATTTTTGTGATTTGAGGGAGGATATAATAAACCAAGAATTTTTCTCTAGATTATGTGCTTGCAAGGAATATCAGAAATGTAAGATATATATGTTGATTTTTTTTAAATCTAGCATCTAGAAGAACTGCTCTGTGTTAATGAGCAATAGTCCTTACTGTTATCTAGGAAAGGTACATGCTTGCCTTTTTTAGTACTTTGCACAGTATTCTTGCTTTGCTTCTGCTCACAGTTGCAAAGCAGTCTTATTTTTACCTCACTTTATCTTATC